CTTGTTGTCTTGAAGGTCATCCAGTAAAATGATAGTATCATTATAATGGAATAACGAAAAGACTTATAACTGTTAAACTTAGCAAAAACGATAATGATATACGGGGTCACTATAGTTATTGAACAAGGGAAAACTTGGAAATTTTTTTTTTCTCTCTCTCTCTTTCTTATCTTAATCTCATCAATTTCATTGTTTCTCTTTCATCAATAAAAAAAAAAAATCTTACAATTATGAATGTCAAATCTTTTCAGTATTATTCAAAACAGTTTTATTCATCATTTAATTTACTGATATTATTGACTGTGATAATTGTAATTTTAAAAATAATGAATATTATTAGTTATCTATTGTATTATTAATTAGTCTGGGAGAATCGTTTAATAGCTGGTAGCATGAATTTTATTCATGAACCATCTTGAAAGTCAGTATATGTATTTGTTAACAATACAGTATATGTATTTGTTAACATTGGACATTCTTTGTCATTAAAATAAAGATGTGAATTTCCGTTAGACAAAGATAACAAAAGAAACATGTAGGAGATAATTTTAAAGAATGTAAATTGGTTAAATGATTTACACTATTAACATTTATTTATAGTAAGAAATTTATTTGTTAGTTTGGGGTATGGTTGGAGTCTCGCGAATCGGAATTCGCGACAATATCTACCTCTCAGTTTCTTTGCATGTTGACAATCAGTCAGGCTAAGTTATCAAATAGTTTTTGTTGTGGTTTCTTGCAAATCCTGGGAAATAAGTTAGACTTCTTTTGGATTATCACATTATTTTAGCAAATGTTTATGACGAAATTTTCTTGGGCGATAATTTTACCAAAAGTTAGAGAAAATAATTTTTTCATTGTTTGCTAATGAAATAAATTGATAGCATCGTATATAACAAATCGTTGCAAACATACTAAACGTTAGCAACACCAGCAATAAAATCCTGAAATTGAAAACAAAATTTTTTTTTGGAAACAAAGTTTTCAATTATTTATTTTAAATGTGTCAATTAAAAAGGGATTCAAAAATAAAACTTAAATATTATGATTTGAACAATTGCTGTGCTTTGCTTAACTAAAATTAAAGGATTTATCAAATTCGTTTAATTTAAATCAAGTCTTTTTTTTAATTTAAATCAAAAAAAAATCAAAATTTAATAAAAAAAATCAAAATTTAATTTAAATCAAATGTTTTTTATTAAATCAGTTTTGATCTTTTCATTAAAATAATGAAAATCACACTAACATCAATTGATAGAAAATTTATGCAAAAGATAATAGTCTTTTACCAATACATATCAAAGATTTTCTCTCATCATTTGAAAAATTTCAATTTTAAATCTCCAGCTAATTGGAATAATGGAAATTATAGTACTAAAACATTGGTACTCTAAAAATGTTGTCCAAAGATTCTGTATGATGAAAGTGAATGTACGATAAATATTTGAGAACGATTTATAAATTTAGATTTGAAAAAAAGACGATCATTATTAAAAGTATATT